TTGAAAAGTGGATCCATGTCAATGTAGTTAGGTTAAAATGCATTATCATTTGGTCTCTTTTTAGAATCTTTTAAATTATGTTGTTTCAATTTCTATGATTTTTTGCTTTATTTTAGATTTTATTTTTTGGGTGGGGAGAGAGGGATGTTTTTCCCTCTGTGAAATCCAGGATAAGTAAACCTACAGAGATAGTAACTAGATTAATAAGTGGCTGCTAATAATAAACAATGAGGATGAGAAAGAAGAAAATGTTCTCAAATTGATTGCACAACTCTTTAATATGATTAAACCAATATGAATAAACATTGTATCATAAGGTGGATTCATAGCTAGCAAAACTGTTAATGAACCCTTTAAAAATTAATTAAGTATATAGAATTTATTTCTCAATTATGAAAAAAATAGTAGGTGAAACTATCCACAAAGACAAACTAATGTTTTGGATTGCAAAATAATCACAAGGTCAGCGAGAAGGCATTAGGGAGAAGAATAAGGGAATATTGAAGAGGGTTGGAGGGCAGTTTACAGGGAAAAAAAATCTAAATAACCTTTAGGGAATTCTTTGTTTCTGAATCTTGGTAGCCAAAGAACAACCCCAAATTCTTAGACTTACAGCAAATTGCAAGAAGCCCTGATGGCACAGTGGGCTATGCACTGAGTTGCTGACTTCAAGGGCAGCCACTGGAAGGCACTAACCACTGGGCAGAAAGACCAGGCTGTCGGTCCTCATACACATTTTCAGTTTCAGAAACAAGCAGGAGCAGGTCTCCTCTGTCCTGAAGGGCCACTAGGAGTCATATCTACTCAGTGGCAGTAGGGACTGTAAAATGCTTTCAGTGGTGCAGTTAAGTCTTGCCCTAGGAGCCAAAAGGGGGGCTGTGGGAACCCACCCTGGGGAGGCTCAGAAGACAGGCCTTTGGGGATCTGTTTCATCAGCTGCAACCACAAAATTACCAGGAATAAAACTGGTGGCAACTACAGCAACGCATGGAAAATGCTCCTGACACCCGAGGCGCATAACCTGATGATTTCTAGTGGACCTCCCTCATGGGGAATGGGTTGATGGTAGAGTACTATACCACACACTCATTCTTATAAGGTATTTTCTGAGGGTGTCCAAATCTTTCACCCTCATCCTTCTAAACTGGTACTCTGAAGTATTTTGAATGATCTATAGCATAGTCTAAATTCACTTAGTAAACAAAGCCACATTGAAAGACATTTTGAAGATCTCACCTGATTGACCTAAAGAAACTTTCGTTTCGTCTTGCTGTGAAATGTTACTTGGTGATGGTAGTTGTTTGTCAGAGCTACTCATCAAAACGTCTTCTTCCACAATAGAAGAATTCAGTTCCATTCCTTCCACAACCTCTGAAATCCCTTCTATATTTTCAGTATTATTTGTTACTTCAACAGCAAGTAGAGAAATGTTCATTCTATCACAGGGTAAACAATCCATCTCAAAGTTTATCTTATTTGCA